CACTTACTTACTAAGTCGAGCACGAAGGAGAGAGAAAGTATAATACGGTGACCATTCGTACCGATTTTGGCGGGGCAGTACCGATTTTTATAAAATTGTCCCTTTGAATATTTTTTAAAAGTCTGGACGCATAAGAGTCCCGATTTTATATATTTGTACCGATTAAGTCCCGATTTTCATTGTTTTCTTTATTCATTTATTAAGAGTCTCCCTGTACTTTGGCCCAAAAACAATTTTTCGTACAAGCGCGGCAGCTCTTCTCATACCGTCTTCAAAAGTCACAACTGAAAATTTTGTATTTTTGAAATTATGTGCTAAACATGTACACAGAGCTTTTATTTACCTTTCAGCAAAAGCTGGAGCAAATTTTTGTTATAATTTGTTAAAAAAAAAACCTAAGGCAAAGTCATCTTGCCCATATGATTATCATGTGCTAATAGACCAAGAGCCAGCGACGGCCAGACCTTCGTTATTTCATAAAGGCTGAAAGCTTCTCTATGTATGCCCCCAATACAGGTAATAACGAACCCAGACTGTGAGATTTGGATAGTGGTGGCTTTGGCAGGTATCAGGTGGTAAGAATGTATAAAATAGCACCTAAAATTCGTATCAAGGTCAGTTTTTATATATTTTATTCGTAATAATATTGGAAACTACATCGTTCATTGTCAGACACTTATCATGGTTCCTACCCCCTGTCAGACACCCTTAAACCATTATAAATTGTAGTTATACTTTGTTAGAAATTGGAATTCAGCTAGTAAAGACCGCCGAATCTGATAAGTAACTGTGGCAGCACTTTAGTAATTTAATGTCAATGCAATGGGCGCGGACGAGAAGTCGAGCCATTCGCTCAAACTTCGAAGTAGCTGATGTTAACGTCGCTATAGTCCACGCATTCCTGTTCCGACAACGAGCGAAAGAGAAATATAAGCGTTCCTTTACTCCCTGGACTTTTGGTTCAACGCTACAGGAGTTTTAGCAGATAGCCGCAAATATGCAATCGTCCTAGCCAGTGTACCACCGACCANAAACTTCGAAGTAGCTGATGTTAACGTCGCTATAGTCCACGCATTCCTGTTCCGACAACGAGCGAAAAAGAAATATAAGCGTTATTTTACTCCCTGGACTTTTNAGTCATTGAGGCTGCACCTGTAAACAGATAAGAGTACATTAAAACCGAACCCATAGAACGATTCAGTGAGAGTCAACCCAGACGCTTGCAAGGAGTGCTCCAGGAGATATCGTTGGGTGATAAAAGGTCCAGCGAGCTTTTTTCTGACATGCAAAGAGTAGTAGGATCATCGTGGAGTGACAGCGCACTGTTGGATTNCAAACCAAACTCATAGAACGATTCAGTGAGAGTCAACCCAGACGCTTGCAAAGAGTGCTCCAGGAGATAGCGTTGGGTGATAAAAGGTCCAGCGAGATTTTTTCTGACATGCAAAGAGTAGCAGGATCATCGTGGAGTGACAGCGCACTGCTGGATTTGTGGATAAGCCGCCTTCCGTCTGTCGCACAGTCCTCAACCATAGCCTCATCAGAAAGAATTGCAAGAAAACTTAAGATCGCGGATGCAATAGTTGAAGTAGCAAACTTAGTTGGAACAGAAGTAGGCGCCGTCGCTTCTACGACTGACATTTGTAGCTTAAGAGACGAGATCGCCAACTCAACGGAGATTCAGTAAATTCGCAAGCATATTAATAATTCACCAGTTCATCGTCGTCTACAGCGCAGATGGGGTATTGGTATCATCAGAAATACAGAAGAAATGCTACGAAATGCAGACAGCCCTGCGCATTTTTTCAAAGTAGCCAACATCGACCATCGAGTTCTCAGTCAGCGACAAACACTCAATAGCAACGCTCGGCAGGTGGTGGTGAATAATTCTATTAGGAGATATCATTTGTAAGTTAGGGATGTTGCGAATGTGTAATTTTAGACATCCGGATGCTAATGTGGATGTCAAGTATTTTTAGGAAATAATTGAGGGGAGTAAATTAAGTGATTTAGGTGAATGTTTTTTTTTGTTTTATTTAGTACTTGAATTTAAAAATAGGAATACTGTATTTTATAAAAAGTAATGTTGCTGACTTTTTGGGTTAAGGGTTCTTAAAGGGTCATAAATCACACCACCACTACTCAATAACTACTCGCTCGAGCCGACAAACTTGAAACTTGACAAAATCGTAAACTTTTTTCGATTGAAACAGCACCAGCTGAGAAGTTTATTTAGTTTTTTTTATAGCGGTGAAATAATTCCTGTTTGAGAAGTTGCTCGAGGCTGCAAATGTCGGGTGTATCCTCCTGACTTTCAGTTTCACAATCTGGCAGCATGGCAATAGTTTACTCGTATGACGTTTGTGTTAAGGAATTTAGCCCAAACATTCCAGAGGCTTATCCACGGGGTTCTAGGGGTTCGTGTTTCGTTTGTGCATATTTGGAAGATGTGATAATTGCATCGGCTACTAAAGAGGAACATTGTGAGCTTCTGCGTCAAGTGTTTCACCAACATCAATTTTTGGAGAACCGAAACTAGAGTTCTTAGGTCACTTAATTTCGTAGAATGGTCATGTTGAACTTTTACCGGCGTTTTCTGAAAGACGCGGTTACGATTCAAGCAAAGCTGTTCGATATGGCTAAATCCAATAAAAGAAGTGACCGAACACCACTAGTATGGGACGGGGAAGCAGAGCGTTGTTTTTAAAAGAGCAAGCAACAGCCGTGGAACTGTTCTCTATTTTCACATCCATTGCCGAACGCCGAGTTATCACTCTGGGTCGATGAGTCAAGTTTTTCGACAGATACAGTCCTTAACCAAATTGTTAACAACGAAGTGCAGCCATTTGTTTTTTTTCGCACAAAATTTCGGCACCTGAAGCAAGGTATAGCACTTACGACAGGGAACTCACGGCTATCTACCTGGCGGTGAAACCCCTCGGCTACATGCTTGAAGGCAGACTGTGCCACATCTATACTCACCTATACTTCATAGACAAAAACAATTCGCCGCTCTGCTCCATTTGCCAACTTAACACACTAATATCCACAAAACATATCCTTGAATTTTGCCCTTCCTTAACACCACTAAGACAACAAATCTTCCTCAGCGACTCCCCTATCGAACTACTCTCCAACCTCTGTCTAGAAAACATGTAAATTATCTTATTCCTTAAGCTATCCAACCTTTACCACCAAATATAAAAATGGAATTACAAACATAAATACTTACACTATACCGTATAAATAAATGGGACAACATATATCTTAGTATAAAAATATGCTAAATACATACATAAGTATGTATAAACTATCATAAGTACACTACATAGCCTTATTTTTAAACTCATTGATTAAAAAAAATATAGTATAGCTTAAGGCCCTAGCAGCCAAAGCTATGTTACCTCTTTCTGTAAGATTCAAGCTTTTAAACTTTTCTAACAGCTGTAAATAAATATTAAAAACTACCTAAAACCATGATAAATTGGAGTTATACTTTCGTAATAGTATAAAAGCTGATTTTTATATATGCCACTTGGGGAACTATCAAAAGATGTTTCTTCACTTGCCAGACCGTTTCGGTAGTTCCTTAATATGCCAGATACATCAAAAGCCTTAGGTGCGAGCATGAAGAAACTGATAATAATTATACGTTAGTTATGTAGAACTCTATTAACCTTCGTGTTCTTAAAATCGAATGATTTATTTTATTCTCTATTACAACGAGTAAGCTAAAATGCATAGTCAGCAAAACTGACAGATGAGAGAGAAGGAGAATGGCTGCTACACTAAAGCTATTAATCTTACGATATTAAATTACCACAGTGCCTCGTAAGAGGCCACGGGTTAGAATTCTCGCTTCAAACGATCAATCGAAATATTTGGAATGGCGATTAAGAATATTGAACGGTCCCTGATACGGCGCGGTGATGGTCGAACTCTGTCGTCTCTAACAAAAACTTCAGTGCATGTGCTTAGCTTCGGATGAATGAATACCCCCTTTTGGGTGTGCCAAGTGGTATCAACTGGGCGAAAGTCGTTCATAGCTTTCCGAAGTTGCTGCACCAGTTCAGCTTCTGCTTGACTGTTGTCGTTTTTAACAAAAAATTCACCTGGTAGGAGTAGCGTGGTACCGTAGACTAGTTCACTCGGTGTAGCGTCTATGTCGGTTTTAAAGGTGCAGCGTAGCCCCGGCAAAATCATTGGGAGAAACTTAGTCCAATTCTGCGAATTTTGGCATAAGATGGTGGACTTAAGAGTTCTATGCCATATTTCAACTAACCCATTTGGTTGTAGATGATGCGGTGTTGTTCGTAGGTGTTTTATTCCCAGTGTCTCCATTAATTCGCGAAATAGTGATCCTTCGAACTGTTTGCCCAGGTCTGTAGTTATGTCGATTAAAACTCCGAATTTTGCAATTTATCCGTTTGTGACGGCGTTGGCTACTGATTGAGCCGTCATATCGACTATTGGAATTGCTTCCGGCCAGCGTGTAAAACGGTCAACCAGTGTTAGACTGTAGCGATAGCCTTCTGATGATGGGAATCGCCCAACTATGTCCACGTTTAGGTGAACAAATCTTGGAGTTACGCAAAGTTGTTGAATTTTATTTTTTTGACGCAGCAAACAATGTCGTGCAAACTTTCTGCTGTCGTACCGGATCCCCGGCCACACGAAGCATTCGGTCATAATTCGTGCAGTTGCTCTTGAACCAGGATGCGACAGGTCGTGGGTAGCGTGCAACACCTGGTGTCGAAAACGTTTCGTGACAAAAGGCCGAATGCGATTAGATGAATAGTCGCAAATTAATGGCAGAGAGCTGAAAGGCATATAAAACGGTTTATCTTTAAAGAATGTTTGTGTTTACCTACGCTACGGAATGTTTGCAGCTCCTCATGGGTTTGTTGATCGCGTTCTAACTCGTCGAAATCGACTTCAACTGCCTCGATTTACTGAATGCGAGAGAGCAGATCAGCTACAATATTTTCGTTACTTTCGACATATCTAATATCAGTCGTAATCTGTGCTACGAATATTTTATATCATACGTCAACAAAACCGATACCGATTCGAAAATTATCGCTAACTGGTTACAGAATCTGTCCCTAACTGGTTACAGAATCTGCCTACAAAAATTATATCGTCCGATTCAGCTGGAACAAAAATGCTTCAAACAAGTAAGACTATCTCTGTATTATAGCCTCGAACCGACATACATACATCTTTAATTTGAATCAGTATTAAAAGCTCTATTGGCTCCTACATTCGGGTTTTGATAGGCGGGTCTCCCCTTTCATATTTTTGGCCTATGTGCGCTTTTATTCGAAACCTAAATGTTTCGGTGCCGAGTATCGAAAGTATTGGATACTTAAAAGTATTGACTCAGCACATCACTACTGCTGTCATCTCGACTGTGACGTCAGCAAAACAGCTGATTCTGTCACATTCACTGAGAGCCGATTGGCGGTATTGCCATCGGCGCCACCTTCTGTATTCTCTCCACCGTGGGATCTATCCATATCGAACGGCTTTGCTTGAATCGTAATCGCGTCTTTCAGAAAACGCCGGTAAAATTTCAAAATGGCCAAATAGCGCTTCATCTCTTGCACAGTTCTTGGCTTCGGGTAGATGAGAATAACTTGTTCACGTTCACTGAGAGGCTGAATACCGTTCTCCAAAATTAAGTGACCTAATACTCAGTTTGATTTTGAAGCGTTAATACACAAGTTGTTCTCTTCAAGGCAGTGAAACACTTGACGCAGATGCTCACAATGTTCCTCTTTTGTACCCGATGCAATTATCACGTCATCCGAATACGCAAAAACGAAATCCAAACCCCTTAGAACCCCGTGGATAAGTCTCTGGAATGTTTGGGCTACATTCCTTAACCGAAGCGTTATATGAGTAAACTCATATAGACCAAATGGCGGTTTTGGGAATGTCATCAGGGATAATAGGCACTTGATGAAAAGCCTTCTACAAATCTACCTTCGAAAAAATCGCTTACCAGCGAGAACTGAAGAAAAGTTCTGAAGGTACGACAAAAGATAGCGATCTGGTATCGTTATAGCATTGAAGGCCCTATCGAACTATATGCAATGGGCTTGCTCAATTGCTGCTTGATGGGCGGCAAATACCCATTTCATAAGCGCTTCAAATTCCTTTCGGGCAGCGGCGAGATTCTCCGGCGATGTTCTCCGGGGGCCGCGCAAAGGTGGGTTGACCTTTAGTCTCGCTAACATGCATCACTTTTGACAAGATTTTTGAACCTGGAATAGGCGTACGGGTAATTTTAGCATATTTACTTAGAATGATTGTGAAGTCGAAGTTGTTGTCATTGGATCTGATCGAGGATATTAGGCCATGGTCGATTTCGCAGTGAATTTTTAACGCATTTTCCCGATCGAGCAGGCATCGCTGTTTAAGATCTACTAGCAAGTTGAAATGAGCTAGAAAATCGGCTCCCAATATAGGGTGGCTTACGTCGCCAAAATCCCATTCAAAGGTGCGAGATAAGTTTAAATCTAAAGTCAAAGATACTTTGCCATATACTCTAACGGGTGTGCTATTTGCTGCGAATAGTTAAGTGGCGGTTGATTTAGCTCTGGCAGATTCTATTGATTTGGGCAACAAAGACACGTCGGCTACCGTGTCAACCAGAATGCAAAGGTTAGTTTTTCTGTCAAATATCTTGAGCCGTGTCTCGCTGTGCGTTCGAATGTGTGCTTCACTTACACCGCCTCTTTCTGACACACCACCTGCCGAGCGTTGCTATTGAGTGTGGCTAACTTCCGAAACGTATCAATACAATGTTTGGAAACTGTTAATGCTGCGGTATTTAAACTGTTTGTATTTGCGGAGTTGCGGCACATTTCAACCATATACATTGCATATTTTAAATATTCAATATAGCAATGAAAAATTTTTCTGAATTTTCCATTTCTAAAACACCAATGCTAACCAATAACAAACGATGCATCAACTTTGTTTCTGATGCGCTGATTGCTCGAGCGATGCTTTCCATAACTTTTCGGCTGCGTTTTGGAACAGTATACATTCTCAATATTTTGTAGATCGACGTTATGGAACCTTACCCTTTGTACGTATACAAAGCAATTGACGTTTTGGAAGTCAGCCTGTTTGTCGCTGACTGAGAACTCGATGATCGATGTTGGCTACTTTGAAAAAATGCGCATCGCTGTCTGCATTTCGTAGCATTTCTTCCGTATTTCTGATGATACCAACAAACCATCTGCGCTGTAGATGACGATGAACTTGGTGAATTATTAATATGCTTGCGAATTTGCTGAATATCCGTTGAGAGTTGGGCGATTTCGTCTCTTAAGCTACAAATGTCAGTCGTGGAAGCGACGGCTTATACTTGTGTTCGAACTTAGTTTGCTGCTTCAACTATTGCATCCGCGATCTTAAGTTTTCTTGCAATGCTTTCTGATGAGGCTATGATTGAGGACTGTGCGACAGACGGAAGGCGGCTTATCCACAAATCCAGCAGTGCGCTGTCGATTTGACGATTGCATATTTGCGGCTATCTGCTGAAACTCCTTTAGCGTTGAACCAAAAGTGCAGGGAGTAAAAGAACGCTTCTATGTCTCTTTCGCTCATTGTCGGAATAGGAATTCGTGGACTAGATACGGCATTCACGTCAGCCACTTCGATGTTTGGTTTGAGCGAATGGCTCGACTTCTCGTGCGCGCCCATTGCATTGATATTAAATTACCACAATGCTGCCAAGTTACTTATCAGAGTCGGCGGTCTTTACTAGGTGAATGCCAATGGCTATTCGCTATGCCACAGAGCCCACTTTTTTTTGCAAAATTTGATAAGAAATATAAACGTAAAATTAGACTAAAAATCTATAAAAAGAGTTTATTTGAGAAAAAATTCTTTAGAATAAAATGTTCATGTCAGAAAAATCAAAATCTAATAAGTTAATTAATAATGTGTTAGACTTATGAACTTTTTTTTTAAATTTAATTTAATTAAAATTTCGATATTGTGTTACAAACTTATTGTTTACTATAGGAGCGAAAAATTAGTTCTATAACACTCCTGAGAAAATTTCAAGTTTTCAAATGACCGAAAAAACGCAGAGACACGTAAATTTAATTTTGGATCCTAATCATGGACCTGTGTACCATTTTTCCATATCAGATCATTTTCGCCAAGATATTTCAATTTGTATGAAAAAGTGTATGTTTAGCAAGGAAAAGATAACAAATCTTTTGCAATTTTTTTATATTTATTAAAGCTGTTCCTTTGTCAAAAAACCAAGTTACTAACGATGAAAATCGATGGATAAGTAAATAAGTTTTGAATGGTCAAATGAAAGAATGCAAAAATTTTTTGTATGAAGTAGGAGCGGGAAATAATGTTACTCATACGCCATGTACGATATCGTAACATTATTTCCCTCTCCTACTTCATACAAAGAATTTTTGCATACTTTCATTTGACCATTTATTTAACATTTTATATGTAATTTTTTTTTTCACTCACAATGCAAACTTAAAATGAAAATATCTTGGGTAAAATACCTCATCTATAAAAACGATATACAGATCCGTAATCTATGGCCCAAAATTGCGCCTTTTTCTGTCATTTTAGCGCTCCTAAAACGTAAGGAAATCCAAAAAAAAATTGTTTTATTTAGCGAACTAAAACTAAACACAACTAATATTACGTTCAAATTGGCCCCATTTAACTTGTTAAATGAAAAGGAGCTTTTTGGAAAACACAATCGTCCACATTGAACATTTGGAGTTAACTTTGACGGTTGTTTGATTGCCAATAAAAATTCGAAAAAAAAATATTCAAAATCAAGTTTTTGTGTTTCAATTTGTTTTATGCGAATGTCTGCTTCATGATATTAATGCATACGGATTATTTAGATACTTCAAAATGTTTAGTTCGTATGCACTATTTATCTCTGCGTTCGATGAGACCTCTTGGGAAATCACTAATTACCGCCTTGGCCTCTTTTTTGGCGGGCAGACATGCATACAATTTTGATATTTTTTGATAATTTTTAATTTTTAATATTTTTCAGAATATAAATTTTTTGGACGTTGGCGTGTCAAATGAAAGCTTTTGGGGCTTTCTGATTGGTCGGAGCAGAAAGCTTTCTGATACAACTCTGCGGTGAACTGGTTTTCAAACGAGTTAAATGATTTAACTGGTTCAATTTTCCAACAACAATTGCATGCGATATAACTTGTTTATGAACATGTTTTGTTCATTTAACTGGTTCAAGCCCATTTAACATGTTTAACTCGTCAATTTGAACGAAGTATAAGACAAGTAAGATCTCAAATATGTATGTGTGTATCTTTGTACTAAATATTAAATTAAATTCAAAATTTTCAACGTCGTCCATATCTCCATTATCGTCATCACTGATACTCCTGTCCGATTGATCGTTGCTTCGACCTCAATTTCTGAAATAGTTTAACAAAGTTAATACAATTCTGATTTGCCATAAATTTATGTACATACAATAATTTGACATAATAATTACATACCTGATATACTTGTTAGAGAATCACTGACATAACTTGGCAACTTTCTGATATTCTTCGTATTTGTTTAATATTTTATAAGGCTTGATTTTTCCTTTCCTGAAAAATGCAGGATTATAATGACAACCCGTGATTGCATGAAATTCAGGTAAGCTTTCACAAATGCATTTTCCCAACTCTGAGTATATCTTTGTAAGGTCCACATACCTTAAGTACCATGTACGAGTATATATAATTACGGCCATGTACGATATGGCGTATGAGTAACAATACTTCCCGCTCCTACTTCATAGAAAAAATAATTGCATACTTTCATTTGACCGTTCAAAACTTATTTATTTATCCATCGANAGTTAATACAATTCTGATTTGCCACAAATTTATGTACATACAATAATTTGACATAATAANTGTTAATACAATTCTGATTTGCCATAAATTTATGTACATACAATAATTTGACATAATAATTACATACCTGATATACTTGTTAGAGAATCACTGACATAACTTGGCAACTTTCTGATATTCTTCGTATTTGTTTAATATTTTATAAGGCTTGATTTTTCCTTTCCTGAAAAATGCAGGATTATAATGACAACCCGTGATTGCATGAAATTCAGGTAAGCTTTCACAAATGCATTTTCCCAACTCTGAGTATATCTTTGTAAGGTCCACATACCTTAAGTACCATGTACGAGTATATATAATTACGGCCATGTACGATATGGCGTATGAGTAACAATACTTCCCGCTCCTACTTCATAGAAAAAATAATTGCATACTTTCATTTGACCGTTCAAAACTTATTTATTTATCCATCGATTTTCATCGTTAAAAACTTAATTTTTTGGCAAAAGAACAAAAATTTCAGAAGATTTGTTATCTTTTTAATTTTTTCCTTGCTAAACATTAAGTTTTTCATAAAAATTTAAAATATCTTTGGAAAATGTTCTGATATGGAAAAACGGTTCACAGATCTATGATCTAGGATCCAAAATTAAATTTACGTGTCGCGGCGTTTTTTGGGTTATTTAAAAACTTGAAATTTTCTATAGAGTGTTATAAAAATAATTTTTCCTTTCTATAGTAAACAAAAATTTTTAATACAATATTGAAATTTTAATCAAATTAAATTAAAAAAAAAGTTCATAAGTCTCTAATGCATTATTAATTAACTTATTAGATTTAAATTTTATTGACATGAACATTTTGTTCTTTGTTTCTCAAATTAACTCTTTTTATACATTTTTATTATAATTTTACGTTTATATTTCTTATCAAATTTTGCAAAAAATGGGCTTTGTGGCATAGCGAATAGCCGTTGGCATTAACAAATTTTGTTAGAAATTGGAATTCAGCTAGTAAAGACCGCCGACTCTGATAAGTAACTAACAAATGTATAATTCTCATTAGTTTCTTCATGCTCCGGCAATTTAGGAAACATCTTTTTATAGTTCCCCAAGAGACATATGTATATAAAAATCAGCCTTTATACCATGACGAAACTATAACTACAATTTATCATGGTCTAAGGGTGTCTGGTAGGGGGTAGGAACCATTATAAGTGTCTGGCAATGAACGACGTAGTTTTTCATATTATTACGAATAAAATATAAAAAGACTGACCTTTATACTATAACGAATTTTAGGTACTATTTTGTACACCTTTACCACCTGGTACCTGCCAAAGCCACTACTATCCAAATTTCATTGTCTGGGTTCGTTATTACCTGACTTGGGGGCATACATAGAGAAGCATCCACCCTTTATAAAATAACGAAGGTCTGGTCGTCGCGGGCTCTTGCTCTATAAGAAATAGTTTTTCGCATTTTCTGACAAACTTATTATTTTGAATTGTGACTCTTTTGAAGGCGGTGTGCGACTTGTTTATTGGTAAGGACATGGAATATAAGGATTCCATAAACATAGCCAGCATCCTTATTAATAATAAATTATTAAAAACTTACTAATACCCTCAATCAAATCGTGGATATGAAAAACATAGCTGTAGATAGAGTGGCAAAATTAAAAATAGGGAAGAAACATTTTATCTTTCTTTCGCTATTCCCCTTTCGATTATTTAATGTTTATTAATAATATAATAATTCAACAGTGTTGAATTGCCGTGCAGCTTCGTTTTTTGGACCGCCGCTATTAAAATTCCGTGCTGACCCATGAGGACTTATATACTCGATCTTGTTCCAAAGTCCATTACAGTTGAATTGTAAAATCTTCGTGTGCCTAGCGAGACTTATTGGAATGTGGTGTGTTAGTGACGTGTGTTGCCGGGCCGCCACATGCTGTGCTTGTTGCTGCTAAGGCTGTTGCCCTTTGGTGCTAGTGGGCGGTGTCGCTGTTGGGGATTGCGACCGAGCAGCACAGCATAGTCCCTCGTCCAATCTCGCGTGTTGCGCAATCCAAGGCAGGTGTTGCACTTGACTGACATCACATTACGGAATATCCTGTACTGACACACCGTGCAGATTGTCGGAGGAACTAGGGGTTGTTGGCGGTGGCGTGTGGGTGGTAGTGCAGTTGTATCTGTAGTGTGGTCTGTTGTGGCAGTGGTATTGTCTGTTGTATTTTGCTGTGGTGCGGT